TTAAATTTTAAATCATTCTTATTCACAACACTTTAAATAATAATTGATAATATTTAAAAGGTAAATAATAATATGTTTTTTTAGTCATTCTTATTTTAAAATTTTAAAGGTATTTTTTTGAATTTTTTTTAAAAAAATACTACTGAGTTGCGGTGAAATGATTTTATTATATATATAATGATAATTGATGATTGATAGAAATTGATAGTAATAATGATTCTTTTGGCCTCTAGCCAGTCATGGTGTGGGATATACAGTTTTCCTTTTGTTTTTTCTTTTTTTTTTTTGAGCTGGTGGGATATACAGTTTTCCACTGCACCAACGAATGAAGAATTGGGGGTGAGGTAAAACTTCGTACCTCCTCTCTCTCTCCATTATCTGAACTCTGAGCTGCAGTGAATAACTGTGGCGGTTGTTCCTAACTCTCTCCTTTTTGGGTCTATAAATATAATGCGGGGCACCGCTCTACAACTCCCCTCACCACTTCCTCTTCCCTTCGCTCTTTTTCTTCTCAGAAAGAGAGTGAGAACGTATACCCGTTGCCCAGAGAATCTTCTGAATTTAGTATTTTGCACCTCATTCCTGCTGTGCCATCTGCCCAATCTCTGCCTCTGCTTCTTTATCCACTAAGTTTTGCGTCTGGCCGGCAAGAGGCAGGCGCAGGACCTCCTAGTTCAGCATTTGAGCTCTTGGCCTCATTTAAATTTTATTACCATCATATCAATTCTTTTTACACATTCAGCTGCGACATCAGACGATAGCAACAATGGCTCTGTTATCGTACTTTCTGCATTCTCCTCAATTGCTCTTCTGTTTCTTCCTTTTTCTTATTTTTAAAGGTAAATTTGGATTAAACTGGGATAGTCTGGGTGTCTAATTAACCTCAACACAAAAGTTAATGAAACTGACTTTTCTTGCTCTGTTCTGCACTATTCATTCAGGAATTTCGGGTGCTACATTCACGTTCGTGAATAAGTGTGATTACACAGTATGGCCGGGAATTCTAGGAAAACCAGACATCGGCAGCACGGGATTCGAGCTGGCCAAAGGGAGCTCCAAAAGCTTCCAAGCCCCTACGGGTTGGTCCGGCAGATTCTGGGCCCGAACCGACTGCAAATTCGATGAGTCCGGTCGCGGAACTTGTGCCACCGGCGACTGCGGCTCCGGCCAAATCCAGTGCAACGGCTCCGGCGCCACGCCTCCGGCGACGCTAGCCGAGTTCACACTTGGCTCGTCCGGCTCCCAGGACTACTACGACGTCAGCCTTGTCGACGGCTTCAACCTGCCGATGACAGTGGAAGCGAGCGGCGGCTCGGGATCCTGCTCGAGTACAGGCTGCGTGGAGGATCTGAACCGGCGGTGTCCGTCAGAGCTGAGGGTGGAGGGCGGCGACGCGTGTAACAGTGCATGCGGGGCGTTTGGGAAGCCGGAGTATTGCTGTAACGGAGAGTATGGTTCGCCGTCGACATGCAAACCGTCGACGTACTCGGCGATGTTCAAGTCGGCGTGCCCGAAATCGTATAGTTATGCCTACGATGATGCTACCAGTACCTTTACTTGCACAGCTGCCGACTATACCGTCACATTCTGTCCTTCTTCTTCCCCAAGGTCGGTGCTCCCTTACCTTTCTGGTTTTTTCCTTCTTTTCTACGCTTCTTGCCCTCATTCACTTTCACCTACCTGTAATGCATTCGGCCGTCATGCTTCTAACCCTAGCATCACCACATAACCTTCCTCTTTCTATTTGTTCGCTGTACACTTGACTGATTCAAATGTTCCCTCATAATGAAGCACAATCCCGCGTGTGACTTTTATAAAACGTGAGAATGCAATGGCTTAGGATTGGAATTTTTATAGGGTTTGTGTTATTGTGTTGCAGCCTTAAGTCTTCGACGGGTTCGTCGCCAGCAGGAACGGATTCCTCTTCGGGATCATCAGTGGAAGAAGGTGCACTCGCCTCGACTTCATGGCTAGCTAATATGGCAACAGGGGCTTCTCCGAGAAATCATCATCAAGGGGCTCCAAAATCTGCATTTTTTGTGGCTCTTACTATCATTCTTTCCTTTTTAGTGTTCTAGTCTCTGGAAAAAATGTCCTTCCCCCATCCCACGACATCTCGCTTTGTCATCATCCTCATCTACCTTTCTGAGACACAGGAATAGATCAATCACCCACGTCACCGTGGGGTTAAATTAAACAATGCTACTGAGATTATTCACATTTCTATGTAATTAATTATTCATGAGTTGCGGATTTCGTTCTTTATTGTTTTCCCCACTTTATGAGCCCTTGAAAGTGATTATAATGTAAACAATGTGACCAAGTTATTTTCTAAGTTGTAAATTTAGCGAGAAGCCTGAGAGATTGGTGGGTGTTGACGTTTGTGGCCTTTTTAAGCTCCCTCAATGTTACTGAGAAAATGAGATATAAAAGAAGAGGGGCGAAAAAGAGCTAAAAGGAATCAGGGAAAGAAAGGATCTTCTCTTCCAATCTTTTTCTGGGTAATGTAGATTATATCGCTTTCTGACTGTAGCAGCCAGCGGCAAATGTTAGATTCAATCGAATGAAGATATGCACAGTTTTCCTTTTAATTGGCCAACAAGGACAGGATGCGTCCAGAGACACACAGGTGCTAGAAACTTGTATTTTCAAAGCCCCTCTTTGTGAAATGTCATCATGAAGGAGGAAGCCATTTAATTCTGTGCGCCGAATTAAGGGAAATGGTTAAAATTGATTGATTGGCGCCGCTTGAAACTTTGCTTTTCCGGCACTCAATCTTAATAAGTAATACAGTTTGTGTGTGAAATTTTAATTTTAAAAAAGGCTTAAAATGTTCCTACAAATTTCGCAGTTCTGTGTTCCAGTTGAAATTACCCCAAACTTCATTGCTCATTTTTTCTTCATTGTTCGCGCTCCTTGTACGTACTTAACGTCATGGGAATTTCGGAATCCGTCTGGATACTCATTAATATGATGAGCATATTAAATGAACTATTCAGATCTTGTGTGCACAGTCCATATTTTAAATTTTAATTAGTTAATTGTAAGCAGAAAAAATTATTTTTTTGAAAAAAAATAATATCTAAAAGATTATTTTTATTTTAAATTCTATACCCATTTGAAATAATTATTTTAAACAAACAAAAACAAAAAATAAATCAAAGATATGATGAGTTTGGGTTGCTTACTAGTTAGTAGAGATTTCACCGTCTAATCCAAAAAAATGACACATGATGACAAAAGAATTCTGGTTTCTTACGCACTTCTGGTGTAAGAATCAAATAACGGCAACATCTATAATTTTCCCTCACACTCATCATTAACGATGGCCCAATTAAGCTTTGCTCCCATAATATCACTAACAATTTAATTGTTTATCTTTTCCTATGTGAACACGAATAGGATGCAATGTGGAAACCTACATGATTGGTCCACATGCCAGAAGCTGGGGTTATTGCAAAGTAAAAATATGAAAACCATATCAATATAGTTAAGGAATACGATACCAACATAACAACATGCATATGCAATTTTATTGTTCGAATTTCATCTAAGTACTTCATGTTGCTCCAAACTTTCCGCCATTACCTTCTAACGTGATAGTTACAGTTGACTCGATGAGATGCTAGAGTGAGGCTTTTGCTTTTGGCATCAGGGAAGAGTACTAGGGGATACCAAATTGCCATGTCAAAATGGGGTCATGAGATGCCAGTTTGCTTTCACAAGAAGCGGAACCACTTGAACGAGGCAAATAAACCAACCTACTTTTGGGCCATTCCTCAGTGCTTGTTTACTTTCCATCTTCAACTTTTGATTCCCGATGTTTCTTAACCGAAAGGGAATGCGAAAAAGGGAAGCAACGCCCGCCGAATATTTACTACTTGACGAAGATCTATAACCAACTATCTTCAACACAAAAAGCCTAAAATTACCCTATAAGTTGGTCTACTATTAGGGAGAGATTGTACCGACCGACTAATCATGATGGAAGCTTGAGGCATTGATTAGCTTTGCCTAATAATAAGTCATGGAAATTCATTGTAGGTTTTCGTGTATCTACTCAACTGCCACCATAACAATTGGCAATGGCAGAATCTCCACCTCAAGATCACATTCCCATAATTGGAGATTCTCTACTTTCCACCCAATTCTGATGCTATGAACACGTAACATATATACAGATGAAGTTATGATCCTCATGTGCTGCATTAACTTATAGATCCGAAATAGGCCCGTGGTAGTTGAATTAGTTACTCAAGGATGGGCAATTTCGCCATGACCGGTCATTACTCATTTTATGGTGACTTTTCTATGCCCCACCATTTAATGGGAAATAAAAGGGGCCAATTAGACACTATCCTGTCAAATGTCATTCGAAAGGCCTCTTGTAAATGAAACAAATGCATAGGTTCACCAATTTGGTAGAGTTATTCAGACATTGAGCAAAGTAGCTTGTATTACATTATATGAAACCCGACAAGAACTGTCCTATCATTGTTTTTAGCTCCCTTTTACTCGTCAAGAATGCTATCAACCAGGAAATCTTTCAGACTCAGACAGGTAAATGAGAAAATTGGCAAAGTCAGATGGAGACAACTTCGATTAACAGAGCAACAAATGGTTGCTTTCGTGATAGTTAAGAATCCCGAGTTCCATAGAACATAGTCAGTTAGTCACCGTCTGGAGACACAGCACGTTCCACGCAGTTACGTACAAGAGAAAAAGCAACAGCAATCCCTCCGCTTGGATTAAAATTCTAGTTTAATCGAACCAATAGTGGATCTGTTAGCTTTTGACACAGTTTCAGCTCCACCCCACTGGAGGGGCTGCTTTATTTACTCGCGGACAGCTATTCGAAAAGCTTCTTTCCAGTTATTTTGATGCCTAGAACAAGATAAGAAAGCTTTTTTCTGTCAAAAAGTTCCAGTGCAGGAACCAATAGCCAGTCCCAAACATTATCACCGGAAGAGGGCATTTTAAAAAAAAAAAAAACACATGCATGATTCATTTGAACTGCCATAAATCATGAAAAACGATATACAATAATAATTCTTGGAGTTTTGTCACAATAACGCTACCATCTACCAACTACAGAATTCTTAATATTGACGGATAAAGAACAAATGCAAAAGTTTATCATGAGCTAAGAATACACGTCTATGGTCCTTTCGGGGCTAGAAATTCTCAACCAGATTAATGGAACCATCGAATATTCTTGATATCCATTACATTGATGATACGAGCCCAGCAATAAATTAATCCAACGATGCCTTGTTATTGGCAAGTATCTGTACTAGGAGATTTTAAGCGTCGGAAGAATGCATTTGCACGTGATCCTCGTCAAACATGAGTCAACCAGAAATGGAAAAAAATTCACAAGCAAAGCATTTGGATTAAGGAGGTGGCTTCTAAAAGTTCATGGCGTAATTCTGATTAATAGTGGATAGCAGTGGTCTTTCTCATAGCTGGGCCAGGAGTCTCTATCCTCGCCATTCATGAATTTCTCATGACGGTTCCAGACTTCTGCGTCATAGTTCTCAGTTACAGTGAATTGCAAGCCATATTCTTTGACAATCTCCAAAAACATGTATAGAGAATCCCCTCTTTTAGGGCTTATAAAAATTGCTTCAGAGGATCCCGTTTTTGACAGGAGGAGCTTGACAGTTCGGGCGAGGTCTCTGTGGAAATCCTTAAAGAAAGTGCTGTCAAGTGACCAATCAAAGTCATGAAAATAATAGAAGATAAGCAGAGATTAGAAGACTATTATAAAGATCACAAAAAGCAAGACAATTTTTTTTTCTGGGTACAAAAAAGCAAGACAAGTTGTATGCATGTGAACGTGCTCAAGCTTTACGTACTGGGTACAACAACCCTTTGTCAACAAGCGAATAAATTTGGATATCTAGACGTATCCAACATTTACTTTGCCACTAAAACGAAAAGGAGAAAAAGAAAAGTAATCCCATTTGCCAACAATGCCACGAATGCAAAAGTCTACTCATAACAAGAGAACATAACTTGCGGCCTTCAACCAGATAACCAAGAAATTTGGGGCTTCATGACTGCCACGTCATTCTAAATCATGTTCACGCGTCAAATTTATCCAATAGAGTAAGGACAAATGCAATTCACGTAACATCAAATTTATCCAATACGACCGGCACTGGGATGGCTGTTACTCAAACTACAATTGAGTTTTTTCTTCTTTTTTCACGACATGATGTAGAAAAGCATCATAAGCACGAAGAACACGTCTAAGGCTATCAGTCAACTCTATATTGAATATAACCTTACCAATCACTTGCAACGATGATGTCAAAAGTGCTGGCAATATCAAAAGTTTCTTCCTGATTCCAGTGAAGCATCATAGGCTTCACTGTTGTATCTCCAAATGTTCCAGAATTAACCTCAATGTTGCGCTGAATATCTGATTGTAATGAAAGCTTATTCTAAATCAAGAGGAAAATCGAGCCTTTGTTGTCGTGTTAATCTTGTACGAGCATAAATATTCGGAAGAGTGCAAATCTAGGGCACCAAAACTTTATACTTCCATGTTCAATACAAAATTCACAATGCAACCGTCAAAGCTTTATGATTCAATATTAGATGGCATTTAAGCATATACGGATTAAAAATAAAAAATATGAACAGAAAATTACAAACATTAAAGGTAAATTGGGATAAGGGAGCATTGTAAATTAAGAATGATAGGGAGCATTTGAATTTACATTAGCCAGGAAGTTGATGAAGTATCCTTTTATTTGTATACCTTTTTCCAAGTTCTAAGCAGTTCTTTCCTTTCTCAAGAAGAACAGATAGAGGGTTGAGACAAAGAAAACTATACACTCTCTGTAGAATTATTATTGTTCTAGCAGTAGCAAAACATGTGCATCTAAACATAGACAAAAACATCACAAAATCACTGCTAAACTCAACTGAATTTCTTAAATTCCACAATCTCGGAAAACTTTAAAAAGTTTCTCGTAACTTTTGTTACTGCAACTAATAATTTTATCCATCCACGCCATTGGCAGACACCAAATGGTACAAGCATTTCTTAAATTTAATTCAGACAAGCCTTAAACATAGACGCACCAACTAGCAATGCCATCAAAGAGCATCCTCAAATTAGATTTTGAACATTTAGTCTCATAAGCCTCACTTCCTTCATGAACAAATTTTAAAAAGAAGATAGTTGAATGCAAATATAGCAGTCTGCTAATCCTTTAAATCAACGTATTGCCATTGCTTAAAAATGTAGGGTCATCATGTGGAAACATATCAAAATTGAGCCAGCCAAAAAAAAAAAAAACACACGCACACACACACGCACAAGCAAACAAAAGGATACAATTGACTACTTGAGGGTTTCCATCTGAGATTACAACCTCCGACGCCTCAGTAACAGCTGCAATAACAAATCCAGCCAAACCATAACCAGAACCAAGCTCAATAACTTTTTTATGCCTGATAATATTAAAAGGTAACATAAAAAAAAAAAGAAGAAGAAGAAGTCAGGAATGCAGAAGAACATAAAAAAAATAGCATAAAGTAAGAGAAATCAAAGCAACCAAAACACCAAAGAATCTAGAGAAGTAATGATTAGCAAGGAATTAAATTGTCAGGCAAGCAACACGGCATCGTTTTTTTTTTTTTTTTTTTAAAACCTGAAAAGATCTGCATTTGACAAACAATAGTAAGCAAGAACATCTTCTGATGGCCAGCTACCTGCAGAGGGAATGCCAACTTTATAAACAGAAACTCATGAAATAAAGACCAAAATTACATTGAGACAAGTGAGAACAGATAATTTACTTTCTAAAAGTAACTACTGATTCCAGTAGAATTCTCCAAAGGCAACTTAAATATGATTCATTAGCACCTTTGTGCACCATAAACATTACTTAATAAAAGCAACCTCTCTGCATTAACAATTCCTGGAAACATGATGATGAAAATTTCAGGGCAAAATGGTGTCCTGCAAGACCAGCCATTCAATGTAAAAAAAGATCTCTCTTCTTTTTTATTTAAAAACAAAAGTTGTCCTGAGGTTACACTTGACTCCTCCAAATAATAATAAAGGCTAAATACTAGTTCTGAAATCTAATGCCGGAATCTCACTTCACCTAGTCTTTCAAACTTCATTGATCCATCTCGTTAAAGAAATAGTTTCCTTCATTAGTTTTAGTAACCGAGCAATTCTTCACATGATAAAAAATGTTTTAATAAAAAAAAAAAAGTTCATTGATTTTCATAAGCTAAGCAGGGACTTTGCAAGATAGCCATCTCAGTCTGATAATTAAACAGGACTAAACAATAAATGCAACAAGCATGCATATGTACATTCATAAATAAAATATGTACTTTAGACTCCTTGGATAAAACACTTGCGGTTTTATTATACTATAGAGCCACCTTAACATAGAAGTCATCACAAATACAACTCAAAAGAAGCACTATTGTGTCTTTGACCTTGAAATTCATGAGAAAAAGGAAATATTACAAATAAGAAGGGGATGCGAGCGATTCAAAGATTACATTAATTTGAGTGATGATTTTATTTTTGCGCTTACATTGAAATTTGATGCAAGTATTTTTAGTCCCTGTAAAGTAGGGAGAGAAAATCTTCCCTGAGTAAGATAATAGCAACTTACAAACAACTCCTGTGTTGTCAATGTTGTATCTGTTGCAGATCTCAAAATCACTGAGCTGAGCATGGTCGTCCACTCTTTGTCTGCATAAAATTGTTCATAACACTGGACCGTTATTCAAAGGGAAAAAAACAATTTAAAATGCAATGACTATGTTACCCAGGCCCTCTAAAGGGTGACACGGATATTATGCACGTGCCCACAATAATTCTACTTCATCCAAAAAAGAAGGCATAAATACACCAACCCGTGTTATTTAAGTTATTACAACAATAACAAGCCTTATCTTATTAGGCAGGGTCAACTACATATATCGCACGACGCTATTGTGCTCTATTAACAACCAAGTCTTTAGATATATTGTTGACTAGAAGGTCTCGTTCAATGATCCCATCAAGCGTTCTTCTCGGTCTTCTTCTGCCCTTTTTGTAAGACTTCAAACTGTCTGATTTAGCCTCCTCACCGGCACTTCTAATGGCCTTCTCTACACATGACCACACCACCTCAAGTGATATTTAACCATTTTCTCTTTAATGGGTGATACACTTACTCTTGCTAAGATATTTTCACTTTCAATCTTATCTTTTCTTGTATGACCATCTCAACATCTTTATTTTTGCTACTCTAACTTTATGTTCTTGTTTTTTTTTTTTATCGTTCAACATTCACTACCATACATACAACACAGCTAATGTTATTTAAGTTAAAAGTATAAATTTTTTTTTTTTGGGGGATATATTTATCTCGCTATAAAATAGAAACACAGTTTATGAACTTCTAGTGAAAGTAGAAATCATGGCTAACTCAGTTACTTCACTAGTGTCTACATTAACTGAACACAGGGTGATGTAATACGAAAAATGTGTGTGCAGTCTCTCGCGCGCGCGCGCACCCAAACAAGCTCGTAACCAATCTAAGGGCAAGTCAACTTTCCCAAAAGGAAAAAGAAACGAAGAGAAAAGCATCGAAGGAAATGAACTCACATTAAAAGTAGTTTCGGAAAGCCATGGATGGGTATGGTGTAACAAAAGCGAGCATCCCTTGAAGTCGACTCATCATTAGTTTCACATTTGTCGAGTAGCCGAGAGGGAATTAATTTGAAGCCATGAATGCTCCTTCTTGAAATGCGCCTGATGCCCATTTGGGTTTGATCATCCGCAAAGCCATGATCTGAATCAATTCGCAACCAAAATATTGCAATTTAAAGAAAGGCACAGCTGGTGACGGCCATGAACATCACATGCTCGGGGGATAGAGTGTGAAAAGCTCAAGAGCGCAGACCTGGATTTGAAGGAGAAGGACGAGGGAGAAGAGCCTGGCGAAGGATCTTCCATCTCAAAGATGAAGCTTTCTCATTGGTTCTGCTTCCCACCATCACTTACGCCTCACCATCGTCTTCCCTCTGTGGAGTGAGAAATCTGAAGTACTTTGCCTTTTTTTGTTTTTTAGTTTTTGACTCACCATACGGAGCTGAGAGCAAAGAGGTCTTGTGGGCTTTTGAGTGTATCTGACTGGATACAGCTATACCGGCATCGATGCCGAGGGCCCCACGCTAAACATGTAAGGAGCCCATTTCCCCATTGAAGCCCATATAACTCGAAGATTTCAGAGAAAATATTTTATTTTATTCAGAAAATTGATGAAAAAGGGTAGTGACTTGCGATTATGAGCTTGTGACCTTTTTCAGAATTAATATTTTAATGATTCTCTTGTCTTTCTTTTTCCAAAATTACTCGATTAGGTCAGGAATGCGTCCTAATTTAAAAGACGACCTGTTAGACGTCATTGATCAGTCGTGGGTTCTTGATACTTTATGTTCTTCCTTGTGCACTATTGATATCCATGTGACTGGCCACCGTATAGTTAATATTAAGATGAGTGTGATGGACGAAAAGGCGAGGCATAAAATCTAAAGCACAAAGACGAACGCAAGGGATCTAATTTAGAAATAGAAGTAGGGGAATCAGTTTCCTGCTCTGCGGGAGATGAGCATTAATAGTTCATCTCGCATTGCACATCGTTTTATTTAAAACAAGTAGGAGATGTGTTTAAGTTTATTGCCAAACGGCATCGTCTTTACTATGTTTCTACTTTCTAAGAAAAAAAAAATTTTTGTCGCATCATTCAGCCCTCACGAGAGAGAAGAATTGAGACACTTGGCAATAACTTTGGAGAGAGAGGGGTTTTTAGTGCAGAAAAAATTTCAGATTGAAGAATGAGGTGTTCGACTTTCTACCATCCTTTGTGATTAAAAAAGACGTCGAATTTCAGACTTTTGCAAATTATGTGAGGTTTATGACTAGAAGAGACCATCGATGCCGGAGGCCATGGAGGGGCTGAAAGTCTAAAACAGGTGAGGAAGAAATTCATGATTCAGGGGTCTAAGATAGGGACAGGAAATGATGAATGAGATTAGTTAATTAAAACAGAGTGTTTAGTTTTAAACGAAAAAGAAATTGCTTCTTGTTTTATATAAAACGGTGCGGAGTGAGAGATGAGCTATCGGTGCTCATCTCCCGCTGAGCAGGGAAACTCGTTCCGGTTATGGCAAGCGGCTTCAAAACCTGCTTCCTGTGAAAACATCAGTGGTCAGCCACGTTGTCTGCTCTGCTAAATTGTAATGAAGCAGCCATCCATCGTCCACGTTTTACTACTACTACTCCTCCTCCTCTTAATCCCACTGTGGAATCAACTTGCTTTTACTCTCCCTGTTCATTTATCAGTATCACCAGCAGTACTCTCCCCATCTTGTTTATTTTAAATGTCAAATATACCATCAATTAATTATTGTATAATGTCGTTCCTCACAAATCCTGCACATCCAACAGTTTACCTTGAAAAATAACAAGGAAGTTCTAATGAAATGCAACTTGATTCTTTTAAATAGTTTTTCATGGTTATACATGGTATTTGGAAAAAGCATACACATGACGCGTTATTGCTGCGCTCGACTATTTCGCAGTTTAATGAATAAGCAGTAGGATCAAAACTTGAAGAAACTCTGCTTTTCCGAAATGGAGGAATGGTTTCATTCCATGAATGAATCAACCTTACATTGGGCTTCATAAGAACGACAGGACTCTAACACCACTATCTCATGACTCACTATCCCCCTACCTGCTACATGATAAAAAATGTAGGACACTAGGACCACTCTCAACAAAATATAATCAGTAACAATAGACAATATTGTTCGTGTGCTGACGATGTATTTACACCACGATAGATGCAATTCAGTACAATGTCAATATTCAATATTGCCCCAAAGGTTAAAAGTAGTACAATCTTAATACGGAACTTTTGACGTCAATTTAAAAGGAAAAACACTAGAACAGAGAGAGCAAGAGAGCATAAAGCTGAAGCCTTTGATTCTGTTAATCCGCTATGGCTTGCCTTACTCAAAAAGCCACAGCCGGACGAAATAAGCTGTCATTTTCGATGGCGTGGCGCATTAATAATCTGTCCCACAAAAGATGGGATCTGACTCGGGCAGCAATTCTTCGATCACATATTTGCAAGGTAAATCGCCCATTTTACGGGAAAGAAAAGGCTTCTCCGACTGCTTCATCTCCTTCTTCGCCATGGGCTCTACCGAAAGGTTCGATCTGCTCTCATGGATCTGCGTACATATTCTACTACCTGTGGCATTTCCTCTCGATCTTCTGTTTTGTTTCTCTGTGCAGCTCAGGAGCAGAGGTTGTCACCGTTGACGTGCTCACCGCCAAGGGTCTGACCCACGCCGGCCATGTTTATCTTGATGTCAGGTACATGTCTGGTATCGGATATTTTTCATGGTTATGCTTTTTTCCCCCGAGAAAATGAACCTAACCTGGTGGGAAGAACTGAACAGGACAGTAGAAGAGTTCGAGAAAGGGCATCCGGTTGCGGATAAGATCATCAACATTCCATACATGTTCAATACGGCAGAGGGTAATGGAATTTTGTTTTCTTTGCTTTGGTCTGATTTGGTTAACGTTGCATTTCATTTCCGGGGGCAAAATCTCGTGAATTCATGCAACAGGGAGGGTGAAGAATCCGGAGTTTCTGAACAAAGTTTCCTGTGCTTGCAACAAGGAAGATCATTTGCTCGTGGTAAACTTTTCTTTCTGCCTGGGGTCTAAGGATTTTATTTGCAGTGAAAAGTAATAGTTATTTGGATGTGCAATCCAGGGATGCCAAAGCGGGGTGAGATCTGTGAACGCAGCAAGGGATCTTCAGGCTAATGTAAGTGGATTAAGTTTACAGATAGAGTCATAAACATGAGCGGTGAGAGAGTGATGAGGATAGTGATTAACGAAGAGTGAGAATGAAATGACAGGGGTACGAGAAGGTGAGGAACGTGGGAGGAGGGTATTTGGAGTGGGTTAAGAACCAACTTCCTGTGAAAGCATCGGAGGCCAACCATGACCATGACTGATCCGCCGAACTCATCGGCCATCGATCGTTGCTCCTTCCACCAGCCTCCTTAAATGCCTTATCCGCATTCCACCTGTCTCGTGCAGCGCATTTACCTCTGCCTCATCAGTTTTTATATCCCTATCTTCCAGTCCACCATGTTTGTTGTCTTTGGTTTTTTCTCTTCATCAAGCTGTGCTATCAACTTGTTTTATCGTCTTCGTTTTTATGCCATGCGGCCTTCAGTTTTATCTGTTTTTAAGGTTAAATCGTTCCTCTCTTCTTCTTTTTTTTCCTTTTAAATCTGCTCAAATTCTAATTTAGTCCCCTAAATTTTTAGAGTATATTTTTAGTAATTTAATTTTAACACTTAGTTTTTGTTAAAAAAAAAATATTAACACATTGCTCTCATTTAAGCAACACATTTAAATGGTCTGCAATTAAATACCAACAAAATATACTCTAAATTTTATATAATTGTTTGTATATTTTAAAATTCCAACATACTTTGTTAACATTTAATTATGGAATCACTACTTAGAGTTACTGAGTTAATATTTTCCATTAAACGAGACTAACGATGTCAAAATTAAATAACTATAAATATGGACTATTTTTGAAATTGATGTAAATTTAGAGAATTAAAATACAATTTAGTCAAACTCAAACTATAAATCATTAAATTTCCATTCATCACATATGCCGGAGACTAAATATTTTGCTGGAATGTTTATTGTATTTTTACCCAAAAAAAAGCATATAAAAGTTTCAAATTGTTAGTACAAACAAAAATGTCCCCCAAAAAGTCAATGATTCGTTATTACTGAATGAACTATTGTTTTTCCCACTATTAGCCTGACAGGAACTTCCTGTCATCCAAAAAAAAAAAATACATGACGCGAACTATTTTGATGCTACCTGCGTAACGATTTTCTCCTTTGCAGTTAAAATAGACATTCATGTTACACGATTAAAAATGACTAATACATTCGAGAGTTTTAGTTCGAAGAAAAGTTCACAAGCTTACGCAGGTATTTTACTAAAATAGTTAGGTCCACTCTAATACTACCTTCCCAGTCCTTATATAAGAGTTAATTGATAAATTTAAGTAGATTAAAAAAATTAGTTAAGTTAGTTATTTGTAATAAATAAGTATTGTCTTTCTTAAAGTACTTTTACTAAGTAAGTATATTAGTTAGAACTATTATTACTATGAAAACTATCTTTGAAAAAAATAAATAAATATAAAAAATGAAATAAATTAGAATCTTATATTTATAACTAAGTTAAAAATCAAAGTAAACAAAAAGCGGGCTAGTAAGAAATAAGCATATGATATAAAGGCGGAGTAAATGGTTTGTTGATACGAAGATAAACATTTTATATTCACCACCAACTCACAACCATGCTCAAATAATAACTATATTCAATACCAATATAAAATATTAAAAATATCAGATGGATATTAATGCACCATCCATTAAATATAACTTTTTGGAGTTCAATAATACCAAGTTATTAAGGTGATCTTTTTTCTTTTTTTTTGGTGACAAGGGATTATTAAGGTGATCTTTTTTATCACCAGTATTTGAATCCTTGTCTTTGTTAAGAAGAATTAAATTCCTTCCGCTCTATGCAGCTATTGTTGGTTGCCAGTTTTAATTCTCATTCTAATTAATATGACTACACAATAACCGCATGCGAAGTTGAGGCAAATTTAATTCTTTTGTTGTTCTTCAAACTGCCATGAACTACAAATCAGAAGGAAGAAATTCTTGATAACTATTGAAAAATAAGATATGAATTGGTTGTAGAAGATCATTGACGACTCTTTCTTGACTTCTCCCCCACTTTGATTCAAGTCTTCTTGGTGTAACTGGTCGGTGGGACCTTTCAAATTATAACAACTCAATAAAACTGACCCATGGTACAAGATGCAACCTGAGAATTGACACGTTAACCGAAACCGCCTTGTTTAGGTAATGAGTTTATTGGATCCCATTAGGCTCAGACCAGTTCATGACAGCGCAGCCAATTTATATGTGCTCAGTTGTTCTGAACAAAGGCTCAACGTTCTGCCTCTGCAAACCCCCAACGACCACATGCTCACATTAATGGCCAACATCTTGCTCTGCTCCATCAAACTGACCTTTAAATACGTTTAGGTTAATTGTTCTTGTCTCATGTAAAGAAGAAGCTCAAATGTTTAGAAGAGTGTGGGTTCCGAGATAGAATGCACAAATGGTGGAAGAAAATATGGAAGGAAGATCCCTGGCTGAAACCCCCACCTGGGCAGTTGCAACCGTCATCACTCTATTGGTCACTACAAGTTTCTTGTCTCACGTCTCATTGAAAAAAATTATAAAGGTAAACTAAGCCATCCTATTCTATGCTTTCTGTCCCCTTTGAGACTCTCCCATTCATGGGTTAACTTGTTATTTCATCAATACCACAGTGGTTGAATAGAACCAAGAGAAAATCTCTGCTTGCCGCAATGGAAAAGATCAAAGAAGGTGTGAAATTTGAAGTTTTAACCCCTCACGAGTTTCATTAAAATTTTCCACCTTTCTAAAAATGATCTGATTTAATTTTGATTTCTAAACAGAGCTTATGCTTTTTGGGTTGCTTTCATTGCTGATGGGTCATTGGACTATTTTTGTGGCAAAGATTTGTGTTAAGTCTTCAGTTTTAAGCAGCAAATTTTTCCCGTGTGCTGTGGAAGGCAATTCATCAATCCGTTCAAGTTTAGAGCATCATAATATGACAGTTTTCAACGAGCATGGGAACTCTGGGCTGCATGATTATTGCCCTGAGGTAGTTTTCCTATCACATCCAGTTCACATAACATTTTAGCCAGTAACTTGCAATGCGGTTAACACTTCCTCATTGGTTTAAATCCAAAGGGCATATGAACTGCATAGTTCATGAACACTATTGTTTTTATTAAAACTCTCATAATTCGCTTTCCAGGGTCACGAGTCATTTGCTTCTTATGACAGCCTTGAACAGCTTCATCGTTTCATATTTGTCCTGGGGATTACTCATGTTTCCTACAGTTTTGTCGCTATTGCCTTGGCCATGATTAAGGTTCAGGCATCCTTCTGACACTGATTTTGATCCCTAGAATTGATGTATGGGCCCTGATTATCTTAACTGAGTTCATGCAGATATATAGCTGGAGAGCATGGGAAAGTGAAGCAAAGACAATGGCTATGCAGAGTTTACAAGGTCCACAATTTCTGATCCGATAACTGCAACGAACCATTGCATTAACTGAAACATTCATCCTGATGATGTTCCATCTTTGTCAAGGTAGATCCTTCGCAAGTCACATCAAATGTAAGATTTAGACGGCTTTCTACGTTCATTGTTCACCAGGCATCCCATCCCTGGAGTCAGCACAAAGTTCTTGTTTGGCTGGTACTGTATACGGATTATTTTCTTTTCTTTCCATGGTTAAGATATATGAACTCACCAACAAAATTACTGTATCTGTTCGTAGTTTGATTGATATATTTTGATCTTGCTTCATGTTCATGCTAAGGAACATGAAAATTATGGAACAGGATCAGATCAATTATACAACTTAATTTAATCTTCACTGCAAAAGGAACGTGCTTGTCTTCTACATAAATTTTAGTTAATCAAATTCGTGAACTGCTTAATTTGGAGTCTTCCCCATTTTCCTTGACGTGTTACAAGGATTTTTTTTAAACGGTCTAAGTATTACTAGGCTGCTGTATGCTTGCTACAGTTTATCTCCCAGATTTTTCAGTGGAATTTTCCTTATCGTTTAATGTTCTCTTAGATGACTCATAATACTCACGGACCTGAAATGCAGCTTTGCTTCAGCCGCCAATTCTGGAGTTCCATCAACCGAGCTGATTACATGGCATTGCGCTTAGGTTTTGTTACAGTGAGTGCTTTCTGATCGCTACATAACTGCTGTGCATATACCTTTTACTTGTGCCCTCGTGCAGAAAGGAATGGAGGGCTGAAGGTGACTCATCGGCTAACTTTGCTTATTGGCTAATATTTATCCATTTCTTTATTATGATATTCTGTAGACTCATCAGCTTCCCCTGACGTATGATTTCCACAACTACATTCTTCGAAGCATGGATGATGAGTTCCGTGACATTGTTGGTGTTAGGTGCTGCTTCTTCTCTGACATTGGAATATAAGGCTTTCACTAGATTACTATAACTAAAGTTAATTTTGCTGATGAATTTGCAAGTTTCACTACTTTAAGCTCGCCTGGATATAGATATGGTGAGTGACTACATGCAGTTTACGCAAATCAAGTAATGACTCCAAGATTCTCTGCCAGACTCCTCAGTTGATACTTTATGGGAGATAAAGCAAACCTCTTGTCACCTTTTTTCTAATGGACTCTAACTCATTTGATTATTAGCTTTAGCCTGTAACCTTTGTTTATCATACTGATTTTTGGTCATGGAAAATTAATTTGATAGCCTCACCTTAACTTGTTTTTGCAGCGTGCCTCTCTGGATATATGCCATTTGTTGCATTTTCCTAGATTTTCATGGTAAGTTTCTGTGGGTATTATCATAAGCTTGATAATTTCTTTAGGACAAGTGTGATATGTGATGCTAGTGTTTTTTTTTTTTTTTTGTGGGAATATGATGCTAGCTAGTTTCTTCAATCGTCAGTCATGGATCTAATCAAACTGAACGTTGTTATTTTTGTTCAGGAAGCCACTTCTACTTTTGGCTTTCTTTCATTCCAACAATTGTGAGTTCTGATAATGCTTGTCGTTCCCTTTTGATTCATTACTAAACAAAGAATTTTCCTCAACTTGAAGAAAAGGTCATGTTAGGGAAAAATAATGATGATGATGACTTTCTGTTGTTGATTTGGAATTCAGTTGCTCCTGGTAATTGGTACTAAACTGCATCGGGTGGTGGTAAAGCTGGCTGTGGAGATAATGGACCGTTGCCCATATATGAAGCACACTCAATTCAACTTACGAGATGAGCTCTTCTGGTTTGGGAAGCCAAGGCTTCTTCTGTGGTTAATTCAGCTCATATCCTTCCTGGTCAGTCACCAAATGACATTTTCAAAACTGATAACACCTTCACACGTTTCTTTCATCTCGTTTAACTTCTCTAGTAACCTTGCAGAATGCATTTGAAATGGCATCATTCATATGGTCCCTTGTAAGAAGCTACCTTTGCTTTTATGTTCAAATTTCTAAAATTAGCATATACGAACAATTACAGCGCCACAAAATTAAGGACGTGATCGTTGATTTGATGGTCTTGAGTTTTTTTTTTTCAAATTGCAGTGGGAAATCAGAGAACCTTCTTGTTTCATGGACAGTCGAACCTTGGTTGTAATCCGCTTGTCATTTGGGTAAAAATCACGTGATAATCTAAACCTCAGGAAAGAGCATTCACAAATCCACTAAGAGTAACATGATTAATTGCCAACACAGGGTCATCTCCCAAATCTGGTGCAGCTTCATAACGTTTCCTCTGTATGTTATCGTCACGCAGGTTCAGCTTCTTCTTCTTCTTCTTCTTCTTGTCGCTCGTTAGAATATATTCTTCATCACATGGCAAGCATTTAATGTGGCTTCATGAGTATTGATTATGCAGATGGGGTCGCGGTTCAAGAAGTCTGTGATATCTGAGAATGTGAGAAAATCACTCTCAAAATGGAAGAGGAGAGTGAAGAGCAGACAAAGTCCTTCTGCCTCGCTCCTTGGCGCGACAACAACATCAGTGACAACGTTGTCCGATTTGATGACGTCCGAGATGGTGAACTCAAATTACAATGCAATAAACAGTGAGGAAGGAAGCTCCTCGGGAACTAAGGAGTCTGGTCTCTCGCATGATCTTGATGATTACTCGGATACCCATATACATTACGATTCTTCTCCTTCGCTGACTTTGAGAATTTGAGATTCCTTCTCATGAATACGTGTTCTGCCAAAATGCTATTTTCTTCATCCCAACGCAGCCAACCATTTGCTTAAGGAAAATTCAAGGAGGAAAGGGAACATCAGAGAGAAATATCTATCTTTTGCTTGGTACACTGTGATTAAGAGTTCAATGAGTTATTGGTGCTTCTCTTCAGTAATGGAAATATGGAACCTTCACTAATTCCTCCCCCCCCCCCCAAAATTTCTATCCAAAAAAAAAAACTTCATCTTACCAAACATAACATTTGGTTAATCAACCTGGGGGACAGTTTTTCTTCAAAATTGGTGTTCAACTTAGAAGATAGTTAATCCTCAGTTAAAACCTGAATGCTAAAAATGGCATTAAACAATGCTCGTAAAAATGGAAAATACATGATCATGGATAAATGATGATGCCACCAAGCATCGCCGTACAAGCTATGGTTTTGAAACAGCCAACACAAAACAATAGTAGATCCTCAAATTGCCTGCCAAACTAATGATTAGATCGAATGTTAAATTCTAAATTCATAGAAAACTACAAATCTAATATAGTAGAACATGAACATCTTCCACCATATATATAGTAGAATATGAACATTTTCCGATGGTAAAAAAGAAAGAAGAAGAAGAATATGAACATATTTCAAACCGGTAAGGGCAAAACATCCGATTACCCATGCAAATCTTGGGATGGTAAAGCATCATAGGAGCTTTGAGCCTTGTCATGGAAGATATGGATGTTGTAAGAGTGGTATAGTTATTGTTACCAATTAGGTAAAATTCCGGCTCTGGCTCATAACTAAATTAGAATTAGAAGCAATCACTTGGAGTTCGAATTCAGATTATTCTGAAATCAATCAATATTGTATATTGTTGCACAAGATAATTTACTATACAAAAGGAAATCGTTTGATAAAAAGCAGAAGAAGTTTTAGTTTCTTTTTTTTTTTTTTTTGCAAATACATAAATTCATTTTCACAATTTTTCGTTGTCAGTATTCTTCAAATTGCAAGGCATATATCTATATCAATACATGTATCATAATTAGAAAATCAGTTATTATTTTAATTTTTAAAACATGAGTACATTTATATCATTAAAAAACAATTTTAGTTAAAATGAGAGGGAGTGATTACATTTGCATATAACTTTCTCTTTTCAATCAAGGGACAATTTCATTAAAAGCCAGTTATTATAGTATATTAATTTGAACAAAACCCAAATGAACAACAAAAAAAAAAAAGTAGGTTGGCTCGGTGCAACTAACAGAAAAGAAACTTAATAAATAAAATGAAAAATGAACTACAAAACTAAAACAAGCCATAAAACAGAAACGTATGCAACTAAAAGTTCTACAATCTCACTTCTATCCTGTACCACACAGCACCAGACTAGTTAAGAAGAGGAATTCGTGTAATCTTCGTTCAAGAAGAACGAACTGAATAACAATTTCTCACAATAGCTTCCTTGGAGCTAAACCAAGCCACCAATATCATGTTAGAGACGACAACCAAAGTCGCGGGACGAAAAAGAATTCTAGGACTCGATGAAGACCAATCCCGATAGTCTTGAGAGGACCAGATCTCTTCTCTCTTATTATTTTGTGGGAAGCCATACGCTGATACCATAATACTACTTCTGATTCTTAATATAAGATCCTATTTAACTTTTATTTTGGTACTGAATATAATACCCCAATCCATTTTGTCTCTCATATTTATACATTTTTTTTTTCAAAATAGCCCTTCTAATAATAAGAGTTCTAGTCAATACACTTGATTAGCAAGGATATTTTAGAAAAGACAATACCTATTTAGGACAAATAACTAACTCAACTTACTTTCTTAATCTTCTCAAATTAGTCAATTGGCTTTTATAATTAGGACCGGAAGTAGTACTCTACGACTCTTGCTTGCAGTAGAAAAGTATAAATGAAGTGGCATACTTAACGCACTGCTAAGCGTGGTTTTTACCCTCTATGGTATCCTATTTGATTTGATAATCTTTCATGTTGAGATAAAATTTGAATTTTAGGATATTTTGTTCAGCCTTTGCGACAACTGTGAAAGTCAAGGAAGCAGCTAAAACTATCATACTACCTCAGAATGCAGCACTATGAGAAACTCGGAGAATACCATACCAAGTGGCAAGGACTTGCCTCCAGCAGAGGTACCCTCAATTGGGACAGAAATCAAAGTGCAGGTATGCAAAAAACCGGTGGTCTGGTCCAATCCAATTCAATCCCAAGTGGTATGGTCCTATCCAATCTAGTGCAAATAAATTATATAATGAAATTAGACTAGATTGAACCAGACTGGTTGGTCGAGCTGGATTGGGTTTCAAACCAAGTGATTAAACCACCTGGACTGGTCCGGTCCAATCTGGTCTCAGTGAATTTTTTATTTTTTAATAATTTATAATTTAGATGTTACCTTTAATTTTTTTTCAATATTTCTAGAGATTTTTATGTATTTATGATAAAGTCTTAATATTTTAGGATGAGTTTTATATGATTGTAGGTATCTTTTATTGTCTTAAATTGTATTTATGATGTTAAAATCTTGCTTCTCATAAAGGAAAAAAATTGAAAACCTGGATTGTCTGGACCAGTCCACTAGTTTGATGAACCAAATTCAGTCCAACCCGACCTCGGGTTACCATTGGACTGGACTAGATTATAGATTGTCAAACTCGACCCGACCAAAATTAGACCAGACTTCAAGTTGGACTCTGGTCTGGTCTTGTTTGTTTGTTGTGCAGCCCTAATTCAACGGCATGGCCTAGTAGTAGGGGTGAGCAAAACCAAACCATAACCGAAAACTGAACCGAAACGAATTTAATTTCGGTTTTTTGATTCGGTTATTTCGATTTTAGGTTATATATTCGGTTTTTATTTTTTTAACAATTCGGTTTCTGTATTTGGTTCGGTTAGTAGAAAAAAATTCGGTTATAACCGAATAACCGAAATAAATATATTATATATTTATATTTAATAAATATTGTTATAATAAATATATATGTGGGTATATATGAACTTTTTAAATATATTTATATCCAATAAATATGGTTATAATAAATATTATTATAATAAATCACATTCAATGATGAAATATTTATTAATTAATGGTTGTAATCGTGTTTTATTATTTTTAATTTAAAATAATTTTTCATATTTATATATTTCGGTTAATCGATTAACGAATCAAAATTTTCGGTTAATTCGGTTTCAATTCGGTGTTTAAAATTTATTTTATTCAGTTATTCTGTTATCATTAATAACCAAATCAAAAAACCGAATACTCACCCCTACCTAGTAGCATAAGAGAATCAAAGTCTCCAGAAAAAGATTGATTTGGATTGGCTTCTTTAAACTTAAACTAACACCTCACAATGTGTCTTGAAACGAGTTTGTTTATGAATAGTGCGAGTCTCTGTATACCTTATATTTTTATGTAATATTGACAATATTAGAAAAATAAAATATTAAAAATTTTACGTTGCCGTTACTTAACGGCTCCGTCAATCGACGGCGGGCAGATATAGCCATGTTAACTGGAGGCAGCCCTCTCCAGCAAGCAGGCCTCTGCTCTCCTCTCTCCGTTTCTGGTACAATTCAAAAAGCTGTCTCTCTGTAAGGTGCGGACTCACTAGATCGTTGGCTTCTAAAATCTGCGACGATGGTGCTCGAGGTAAACCCCTCTTTCCCTTCTACTTGTTCCTAACGAACCCTAGCAAACGTATTTCTCATTTTTTAAAATATATCAAATTAGGGTTTTCTTATCGTTATTGGAGCTTTTTTTTTTTCATTAGATTATTTTCTTCACAGGCGACAATGATCTGTATTGACAATTCCGAATGGATGCGTAACGGTGATTACTCGCCTTCTCGATTTCAAGCTCAAGCAGATGCTGTCAATCTTATCTGCGGTGCCAAAACACAGGTGAAGTTGATCATGAATGTTTATCCTCTTTTAGATTTCCTTCTTCTCTGTTTATTAGTTGTCTTCGTTTCTGGGGAACTAGTTGGACGAGAAGAAAAGGAGGTATTGTTATAGGTGGCTTGAGATGGGGGCGACTTGTTCATTTATTACTGACGATCTTTCTTGCTCGAAAATATGTTTCATTTTGTATATTTTTCTTTCTCAAGATTGACATGTTTTAATTATATTTAAAATTTCATGTTCTATATGGATCATTCCTTCTTGACCTGAACTCCTTGTTACAGTCATAGTTGCACTTTCGAGATACCTTTTCGGGGCTTATTTGAACTCTGAATTCTGATGAATATATTTACTGATTCACAGTCAAATCCAGAAAATACAGTTGGAGTTCTCACAATGGCAGGGAAGGGAGTTCGGGTTTTGGTGACCCCCACCAGCGATCTGGGCAAGATCTTAGCTTGCATGCATGGTCAGTTTATATTCATTGAATGCTCATGTCATCGCCACACTTCGTTAATTGAATTATATCCGTTTTTTTTAACTAAATCAGTTGAATCTAGGACTTGATTCGCTTGTTAAGATGGTGCCAGTGCTTCTTATACCAAGAAGTCGCGATGTTTCCTTACTAGATTTTGTTTCTGGTTGTTATAAGATTTCGCCTTTTGTGTTTCTCATTTGACGATGATGCATGTTGTTTTTTCCACTTCAAATGGGATGAGCTTAGGTGTTAGATTTGCCTGTGGAAATAATATTGTTTCTTTCTGTTTGTTGGTTTTAATTGAACTCTGTTTTAATTTTAGTAGCAGCTATATAAGATCATTTGTTAAATTGCATGCTTATTTGTGGGGTTGAACTTTTGTGGAACTCGCTTTTGTAAATGCTGAAAAAGAATTGCAGGAAATTTGCAGCTTATGGCATTTTTGGCTTTACTTAAACTCTTCTGTTCACGTTGAAGTTTATTTTCTTAATCTTAATCTTAATCTTGTAAATTAGGACTAGAAATAGGTGGTGAAATGAACCTAGCCGCTGGTATTCAAGTGGCACAATTGGCTCTCAAACATCGGCAAAATAAGAAACAGCAGCAAAGAATCATCATTTTTGCTGGAAGGTATACTTGGCTATGTCTTCTTTTATTTGTTATCATATTTTGTTGAGTTAATTAGGTTTTTTCTTTAATGCTCCCCTCCATTTCTTTTTAGTCCCGTCAAGCACGAGAAGAAGATGCTGGAGATGATTGGGAGAAAACTAAAAAAGAACAGTGTAGCCCTTGACATTATTAATTTTGGTGAAGAAGATGAAGGCAAGACTGAAAAGCTGGAAGCACTTCTCGCAGCCG